ACCATGACCAGTTCTATATACGAACCATGACCAGTGCTATACAGGAACCATAACCAGTCCTATATAGGAACCATGACCAGTGCTATACAGGAACCATAACCAGTGCTATTTTCGATGTTGAGAAATAGCTTTGAGGAGCACTTTTTTTCTTACTGCTGTTTTTTCTGGCCCCAATCGCTTAACATTTTTTGAACATGATGGTTTCCAAATGAATCAAAGGCTACTTAGATGGAGACCATTGCTGCAAAGTATGTAAAAACATGTTAAAGGCAAAGGTTATATATTATTGGTGACACTTTGCCCAGAAACTTTTTTTTGTACACCTTCATTCAAATTATGTAACTGCTCGTGGCGTAACTCAAACCTGCACCACGTACATCCCATGCGGCCCGCCAGCACCTACTTTGCGGCCCTGTGAAGTAACGAAAAACTCTTTATAATTATTTTCTTTATAGATGCCCACCCCGCTTTCCTATTATTTTTCTTTCGACCCACACAAGTTTTTCAAAAGCTTTTATGACCCACCTTAACTCTTGAGCTGTTCAGGCCTGGTTTAAGTCCTTAAGTGATTTTTTCGTTAATTATTTTGTATGAAGGAAATGTATTTATTTTATTTTAGTACTTGCCCTTATGGAAATAAGAATTTTGAGGACCTAGTCTTGATTCACCACGAGTCATTTTCTTGGACTGTAGAGTAATATCCTCTTTTGTGTGTGTTTGTGTGTGTGTTTGTGTGTGTATTTGTCTGTGTGTGTGCGTGTGTGTGCGTGTGGGTGTGTGTGTGGGTGTGTAAAAACGGTTCTCAAACTTTCTTCCAGCTTCGACCCTTTAATACAGTTCGCCACGTCGTGGTGACCCTCATGACATGACAATAACAGCTACGGCAGCGACTAAAGTTACAATGACAATACCAACTACTGCAGCGACTGAAGGTACAAATGACAACACGAACTAGGGCAGCGACTGAAGTTACAATGACAATACCAACTACTGCAGCGACTGAAGGTACAATGACAACACGAACTAGGGCAGCGACTGAAGTAACAATGACAACACCAACTACGGCAGCGACGGAAGGTACAATGACAACACGAACTAGGGCACCGACTGAAGTTACAATGACAATACCAACCACTGCGGCGCTTCAAGACGTCGCATCAGCAAATCTATTTTGGTACGCTATGACCTTTACCGGTCATCGATCAGCCTGGGGGTCATCACCAGATCAGCAGACGACCGAGTAAGCACCTGGTCCTTCCATCTCGGCCTATTTTAATGGTGACGGCTTGATGATTTCGGTATCGTCTCCTTCATCTCATCTAATCAACCTGAGCAAGGCGACGGGACTTTTGGGTGCTACAAAAAAAAAAATTTCAGGACAGCGAAATGATGATTTTTATTATGTATTTTTGAAAAGAACCGCGACGTATACTCTCAATGACGGTAGCAGCATTCGTAGCAGATCCATTGGTGTTGAATGTGTGTCGTGTCTTCTTGAATGAAATCCTGTGGACTGTTTCCCCGCGCGTCTGGACTAGTTCGTTCCAACTGGATCAAATAGGCAAGGACGAGAGGGTGAGGCTGACGAACTGAGCAGCTCTCACCTCACAGTCAGCAAATGATGTACAGCTGATGTCAAGGCTACAGCTTAAGTTGAAACACAGGGTCATATTCGCCTGCGAAGGATGAACTATTTATATATACATATTTACTTGTATATATCCGGCCTTACAAAGACAAATAAAAGGTTTTCATGGTTTAATTTAAAATTTACCGATTGAAAACGAACGGATTTATTGGAAATCGATAATTTGTTTATTAAAAAAGTAACAAAAAATTTTTTTTTAATAAAAAAAACAAAAAGCAGTAAGATGTAACATAACAACAAACACATTTGTAATCACTTTATTTTGTATTTGTTCAACTTAAAAATATTTTTTACATAAAAAACATCTTTATTTTGTTGATGGCTAAGAAGTTCATCAGTACAATGTTCAAACAAAAAATCCAAGACTGTGTTCAAAATTACAACTCCCACTCAGGTACTCAACAGTTGTTCATGCCGCACAGTTATTTATTTATTTATTTATTTATTTAGGCATTTTTATATAGCGCTTATCATAAAGCTCTAAGCGCTTTACAATTATTAAAACATGTGAACTAAGTAAAATAAAAATGAGACACTAGGATAGTAACTACTATTCTATAGAAACAATGAAAATGGCTATAAAACGAGGACACTTTGACACTTCAGGATCAACCCGAAACAGAAAATGAGGTAGGGCAAGGAGGGTGCATCACAGGTCATAGGCGGACCTAAACAGATGAGTTTTAAGGGACTTTTTGAAAATGGACGAG